TTTGTCAAGGTCATTTTGAATTCTAATCCTGTCCTCCAAAGCGCTTGCAGCCCCTCCCAGCTTGGTATCATTTGCAGACTTTATAAGTGTACTCTCTATGCCATTATCCAAATCACTTATGAAGATATTAAATAGAATCAGACCCAGGACAGATCCATGCAGGACCCCACCCGATATGCCCTTCCAGCTTGATTGTGAACCACTGGGAATTACTCTCTAAGTACACATTTCCAAACACTCTGCGCCCACCTTACAGTAGTGTCATGCAAGTCTGCAGTGCCATATGAATAGTAATGAACCCTATTTGTATTTTTTTAACCAGGGACACACATGCTTTCTTTAGAAGAAGGTATATTTCAGGGTCTGAACATGTTGGCAGTGTCCCTTTAAATATTCGGATACCAATAAATGTTGAGAAAATTGCCTTTGTGAGGTTCAAGACATGCTGGATCAACTCCCTTGCCTCCAGCCAGATGCTGTCTGATGTCACCTAGACAAATCAGAGCAAACTATTTTCATGGGATTAAACACTAAATACCTGCAAGGAGCATTCTCTTGATCAGATAATGCTCCGTTAGCAGAGTTTGTTCGCTTTATTGCATATATAGCTGTGGTGTCAAATAGACTGATTTACAATGCCTGGTCTTTTAAATAATCTTTGCTATTTGCTGCTCTTGTAATCTGCCAAATCATTTAGCCTTCCCGATAGCAGAAATGCTGTAAAAGTTAGATAAACTTGCAGAAGAAATTAGCTCCAAGGTGTTCATTGCAAACACACTTGCTGGTTTGTCGTCTCTCCCCATCCCCCAACCTAATCTGTGATTGAATGTGGCTGCTGGAGAAATTGAAATTTTATGATCGAGCCGCAGGCAGGGAGATAAGTATTTGTATGTTAGGCTAGATTAATCTAGTAGGGAGTTTTAGGTGTGGCTAATGAAACCAGTGTGTGTGAGAGCTGGGTTTCTTTTTTGGTGCAGGGATTGTATATGTATGTGTCTGATCCAAGCATTCCACATATAGAATCATAGAATCATAGAATATCAGGGTTGGAAGGGACCCCAGAAGGTCATCTAGTCCAACCGCCTGCTTGAAGCAGGACCAATTCCCAGTTAAATCATCCCAGCCAGGGCTTTGTCAAGCCTGACCTTAAAAACCTCTAAGGAAGGAGATTCTACCACCTCCCTAGGTAACGCATTCCAGTGTTTCACCACCCTCTTAGTGAAAAAGTTTTTCCTAATATCCAATCTAAACCTCCCCCACTGCAACTTGAGACCATTACTCCTCGTTCTGTCATCTGCTACCATTGAGAACAGTCTAGATCCATCCTCTTTGGAACCCCCTTTCAGGTAGTTGAAAGCAGCTATCAAATCCCCCCTCATTCTTCTCTTCTGCAGGCTAAACAATCCCAGCTCCCTCAGCCTCTCCTCATAACTCATGTGTTCCAGACCCCTAATCATTTTTGTTGCCCTTCGCTGGACTCTCTCCAATTTATCCACATCCTTCTTGTAGTGTGGGGCCCAAAACTGGACACAGTACTCCAGGTGAGGCCTCACCAATGTCGAATAGAGGGGAACGATCACGTCCCTCGATCTGCTCGCTATGCCCCTACTTATACATCCCAAAATGCCATTGGCCTTCTTGGCAACAAGGGCACACTGCTGACTCATATCCAGCTTCTCGTCCACTGTCACCCCTAGCTCCTTTTCCGCAGAACTGCTGCCTAGCCATTCGGTCCCTAGTCTGTAGCTGTGCATTGGGTTCTTCCGTCCTAAGTGCAGGACCCTGCACTTATCCTTATTGAACCTCATCAGATTTCTTTTGGCCCAATCCTCCAATTTGTCTAGGTCCTTCTGTATCCTATCCCTCCCCTCCAGCGTATCTACCACTCCTCCCAGTTTAGTATCATCCGCAAATTTGCTGAGAGTGCAATCCACACCATCCTCCAGATCATTTATGAAGATATTGAACAAAACCGGCCCCAGGACCAACCCTTGGGGCACTCCACTTGATACCGGCTGCCAACTAGACATGGAGCCATTGATCACTACCCGTTGAGCCCGACAATCTAACCAGCTTTCTACCCACCTTATAGTGCATTCATGTGAAAAGCTCATCTCTGTAAAGTTGTGGGACCAGCTTTTAAGATGGGAGTTTGGGTATTCGTCTTGAGATGCCTCAGAGGGGTTCAATTTTCAGAGGGCTGATTCTCAGCACTTACAGAAAATCAAGCCCCCTTTAAAGCCTCTCAAGTTGGACACTCAAAATCATCATTAACTTCTGAAAGTCTTGGCCAAGATACTTATTATATGTCATCGTAGAGAAGGATTAGCCATTCAAATGGTCAAGTTCAATAGAATTCTGTCTTGTTTATTTTATTTGAACTGCTTATCTGTGGCTCTGTTGGCTGATTTGAACAGACAAATTACAAAGGGACCTGGAAAGGCTGCAAACGCAGACAGGAAATTCACAAAAAATGCAAGCTAGTACATCTAGGGGGAAAGAATGTAATCTCAGTTAGAGGGAATAATGGAGTTGCAATGCAGTAGTGGTGAGCCAGATTGACCTAGGAGTGATAGTGGACAGCAAATTGGAGGGAACAATAACGATTGAAGGAGCTGAAAGAATTGACTTACCAGCGCAACAAAAGTTTGAAAGAACTACAGTGGTTGTCATTAGAATCCACAATTGGCCATGGTGACTCCAATTAATTCCTTGGGTTAAACAAGCACTTTGATATCTCAGATACCACTGTGGGGGTAGTTGGGTAAAGGTTAACTCTTTGACAGTCGCTTGGTGTACCCTGTGCACAGTTACAACTTGGCTGAGAAGTAACTGAGGTTAGGTTAGGCAGCATAGTCTTGTGGTTTAGAGCAGGGAGACCTAGTCAGGAGACCTCTGACATGCTACTACTGTATTTGGTGAACTTGGGCAGGTCACTTAGCTTATCTATGCCTCAGGGTCCCATCTGTAAAATTCCCCATGTGGTATGTTGCAAGAGGGACCTAATTCTGCAGCAAGGCCCCTAGGTTTCTGGAGCAGACTGGAAGAGCTTGCAGTAGCTTCATTTATATTTGAAAGTGGATGTTAATATTGGATCAAATACAGTGACGAATAATGCAACCCAGTGCCATAGTATCCGTGTTGTTTGTTTGGATATTAAATTCCATTTATTGTGTGCTCTCTTCCCACATTTTCAGTCTTCAGCATGCAAGAGGCCTTTGTGCACATTGTAGATGTTGGTGGTGGACAGCTGGAGGTTCTGACCACTGGCATGGCATGGGAGATGAGTGAGCACAAGCATGTCGGGGCTATTTCTGCTAAAATGATCAGTGGTGAAATACCTAGCTGTTGACGTGTAAATTCTCTCCCTTAGTTTTTAGAGTTGACACTCCATTGAGGACAGAGACACTTCGTACCTTACGGCACTGTTGTTTCAGACTAGTTGCATGCTCTGGAAGGCATCATTGTTTGATTACGCTAGATTTATATTTTAAGGGATTTCTCCCCCCTCCCTCCCCCCCCCCCCCCGTCCTAATGATGAGAAACATAATTTAGAAGGAATCAAGGTTAGGCTCAGGGTCGCAGTTCAAGAGCAAGGGGTGAATCCTGTGGCAAATTCCACAAGTATGAAATACACTGGGCCCATCTAATGTCTTACCTTTGTGAAGTGCTCTGAGTGCCTGAAAGGGGAATTTATTATTTGTAATTGTATGCATTATTATTTGAATAGTGTAAACACTAGGGGGGAAAGGTATTACTTAGGCTGGAATAGGGAACCATAACTAGATGGAACTGAGGGAGAGGGATGCTTAGGCAGGAAATCAGGCAAACTTCCTCAGAGAGATTTCCTAAACTGGGGAATGGCCTCCCATGGGAAGTGTTAGAAGCTGTATTGCTTGAAACATTTGAAACTGGACACACAATAAGAGTAGAAAATATATTGTCCTGCACTGGCATGTAGATCAGATCTGATCCTGTGTGAATATTAATCGGAAGGCTCTGTCTAGAGCCGTCATTCTTAACCTGGGGTGCACGCACCCCCTGGGCGGGGCAAGATGCCCTTTCTGCAGGTGTGAGACATGCCAGATGTTTTTAGAAGGTAAATCATCGAAAACACAAACACAGGCACATAAGTACAACTACTTTGTTTCATCAAACCTATGTATTTATTAACATTATACATTTTTTAGCGATCACTGTAATATACAAACAAAAAATATATCTAGGTTTAAAGAACTGACCTAGTTCAACGATTTTTGATAAGGGGTGCGAGAACATATTTTGAGAACCAAAGGGGTGCAGGCTGCAGTAAAGGTTAAGAACCACTGGTCTAGAGTAATTGCCAGTACTCTGTGTACAATGTTACTGCATGTGTAGGCTTGTAACCTCCTCCGCATCTGTACTGAACACTTAAAGGACAGCTTGAGTAATGTTTAGCATCTTTGCCTTCTGTCTTGATGCCTGAACTGTTGATTTTATGTTACTTTGTCTGGATTATATTCCTTCAGTCACACATAGATTTCATATATTGCATAGAGATTTATAAGAAGCACGTGTGTTTTGTATCACGAAGGATAAAGATGCCTGCTGTTTTCAAATCCCTAGGAACCTAAATCAAGGGCAGAGCCTATTCAGGCAAGTGCAGCATGTTTGAGTCACTTGTTGAACTGTCATGCCTGTGAGGAGTTCTCTCCTGAATCTCTGAGCTGTAAATGAGGTGCTGTCCAATTCAATAGGAAACCTGGCGAGACTGACAAATTAAAAGAAAGTACTGTACTTGCAAAATAAAGTGGCCACTAAAGCTTTGCCTCTCCTTTACTGCCTCCACATTGGAGCTCACTTTAGCTACAGTGGCAATGCCGTGATCCCTTCTGTCACGATCGGCACTATTACACAGGTTTCGCTCTAGTCAGGATGACGGAGTTAGGAATGTTCCTTCCAAATTGTGTTTGATGCCGTGGTGTTTAATAGGTCTGCATTTTCATGGTGTTTTCCTCCAGATATGAGGCCTCCCTCATTGAGTTGGTTGAAGCAATGAGTCCAGTCGCTGCCCCGGGACACCACTATGGAGAGTCTTACAACTGGAAGAAACCCCATGCCCCTCGGAATGGGAGCCCCAGAAAACCTGCATGGTGCCAAGCCCCTCGTGGCACCCGAAACGAAGCGGAGGAGCTTGAGGAGAGCCGGATCCTGGAGGATATTTTCTTCATTTGACGAGGTTCATTACTCTGCAGCCCCTCTGTAGGATTTTTAGGACCTTGTTCCTGTTTCTGCTCTGGATTTGTTTATCGCAGTATCACTTTTAAATTATTTGGTTGACAAGTGATTGTCTCCCTCCTCGCCAAGGAGTTAGTACAGTAGCTTCCTCTTTCACTTAGAATTTAGTAATCATGCTGCGAGAACAACGTTTGTTTTTTTTTGGACAGTCCAATCAGAAGGTGTTAGTAAATTTTGAACAAACTTTTCTTGTGCCAAGCAATTATTCTAAAATATAATTAAATCCACAACATTTTGGAGTCGATTGAAGCCATAGCTTAGCCAGCCCTCATATGAGAAGTATATTTCATTATCGATTTTTTTAGCGATAAAGCAGTTTGCAAGAGCTGCAGAACACACAAGAACCACTGCATTTCAATTAGATTATTTCTAATTAAAAAGCAGCCTGTTTAAAACCTAACAATGTTACAAAGGTACAAGCACTTGAATATTATTTCCAATGATTCTGTGATCTACCATTGCCTTCGGCATTCTGATATTTACTGTGCTGAGATTTTAGGGAGCATATACTCAGCTCAGCTGTATAATGTCTAATAACATTAATGGATGTTGCAGGGTTAATGCACTGTGCATCTGTTTGAAAATAGTCTTCCTTAAATCAGTACTATTTGACATAGTGTATATGCTGGGATCCCTATTGCCAACTCCTTAAATATCTCATACAACCAGGAAATGTACAGGTCCAAACCGTATTTGATGTGCTCTTCAAAATGAGAGATATAGGAGTTATAGAGTAAGAACAGTCTTAAGGCATTTTCACTAACTTGCACTATTTTGATACCGTTTCCAGGTTCCATTGTAAATAAGACAAATCCATAATTATTTCTCATAGCAGCTCATAATGCACGTTTCCCTGCCGGCTTTAATTATTAATGCTCTATCTATTTCAGTTTATTTAAACGCACTCCCATCTACTTCATGCACTTGGTTATGTAAAGAAATGTGCAGAATTGGTAAAAATGACTGCAGATTACAGGATGAATGGACATTTTCTGCACGATGCAGTGTTCATATTTTATTGGAACATTGTAGCCACTGGCATGTGTTCCTAGAAATATGAAGCTAAAACATTCCTTTCACGCAATAAAAGTGCAGCTAGAGAAAGTCAGAATCACAGCAGTACAGACAAGTTCTAGGCTGTTTGTTTCCAACCACTGGTATATAGACCAGTACTGCTTTTTCAGTCTTTTGTGACTGGTCCTCCAGGCTCCTGCTCCATACCTCCATGGTGGTGAGCCCCTGGACTTGTCCCTGATGCACTGCTGTTGTCTGCCTCCCATGGACTTGTGCATGTACCTAATGTTGTTTACAAATTAATTGATGTCCTTTTATTGCATCACAGCTGAATTTTAAAAGCTGGTTGGAAAAGTACAAGGACAGAAGAGATAAGAGCAGTTTTCCTGCACCGGTGAGCCTGGTGAGAAACTGTCCCCATAGACATCTGTTTCTCTCCAGCCCTTTCTGTGGAGAGTTATGGTCTCTAACAGTATCCTGCCATGACATGTATCTGCTCCTTGAATCCACTGGGGGACAAGCTTTTTCTAGAGTATTCTGTCCTAAGGTCCCGCAGACCTGGCAAGTGACCCATCACCGGACTGGCTGGGGGTCTCTCTCCACCACCCTTCATGTTTCTGCTCCTTGGGCACAGGGGATCAAGTTTAACATAGTTTGCTTTGGCGTTAGAAAGAAAGGGAAAAATTCAGGAGAGGCAGCTGGTATTTGGAGGAAACCAGGAGGGAATAGACAATAGGACATGGGTTTGGATTTTTTTTAAAGGCTTCTCTGGGTCTAGACCAAATGCGAGCCTTCAGTTTCTGGTCTAGGTCTAGACCAAACACCTTCAATTTCTGTTCTTCTCCAGATTGACTGTAACTGTAATTGCCATTTTTAACAAACACTAACAGATTTTAAAACAGCAAAAATAACATTTGAAAGGTGCCTTTGCATACACATTCTGGAACTCTGCATGGGAGTATTATGCTCTTCAGTGCTTCATGGGTGCCAATATTTAGCCACGCTCTGATTTTTAATTATCCTTTTTGTCCGTTAATTATTTTAACTCTGATGGTGTTTTTGTCTTGAATCTGTATTTTGGTAATAATTGTATTCTAAATGGACATTGTCAAGGTTTTGGGCCTCAAACATGACCACCTCTTCATCCGTAGGAGCTATACGTGAAGCATGTTTTGCATGTTGTAGCAAAGAATTCTGAAATGAAGAGGTTTTAAATTATCTTGTTAGGAAAGATCTCCACATTCTAATTATCCCATAAACATGAACCAGGAGAGGCTACTAATTGCTATTAATTTGATAGATCCTATAAAAACAAACCTTCTCCAGTCAGCTCTATTGCTGTAGTTATCAGCAGTAGACTAGGACTAGTGGTTAGCAGTCAATGCAAGCAAATATATTTTGCCACAAGGCACTACAAAATTAAAGTTATTAAAACATTTATAGCCTTGGAAGAAAATCAATTGTTGTCAAATAGAAAAGGACAAAATCAGTAGTTGGGATGGAGAGGGGAATTATTTTCCATTTGCGAAAACAATAGAGGAAATGCAAAAATTAAACTAGCAAAAGCAATCACATGACAGTGTCCTTTTAAGTTTAAACTCCTATATTAGCCCCCACTGGGGAAATACTCCAGTCCTAGATTTTGTCCAGAGTCTCCCAGATAATATGCTTCAACATCACATAAGGCTGTGTCTTACAGGAACCTTGTGAGGTAACACATCTCCTACTAAGGTTACTCTCCATGCCTTGACTTTGTGTTTCTACCTGAATGGCTTGTATTTCCAACACCTGCTGTGTTTATGTGGTCATCTCTCTTGCACAAACAGAGGATCTGTAAACAATCACGCATTCTTTCTACTTCCTAGCCCCTCTGGTTCTACCTGGTGAATCCTGTCCTAAACCCAAGCATATATTTATATATCTGTGTGAGGTCTTAATTTAATAAATTATCTGCTTTTTTTTTTCATTTTCTCTTTCAGAGCTTCATTTATTGCATTATCTTTTCCTTTGTTTTGTCCAGCATGGGTATAGCAATAGACCCTTATAGAGAGACAGGACTCTCCATTGTTAGATATTTTGGTCACCATCAACACCATTAATGATGAGGTGCTGTCCACTTATCTGCGGGACCTAAAAGCGTGGGCAAGTCGCAGTAGGGGAGCTTGGTTCACTTTTTCTTTCAGAGATTCCAGAAAAGGATAAAGTGCCCCACAGTTCTTCCCCAAGAGCTCTTGTTTTTGTATTGTCCCACAGGGGCACCCTCTTCAATGTGTTTGTGACATCACTGGGGGAAGGCTGTGGATTGAAATGTTGGCAGTATGCTGATAACCTAGCTCTGTCTCTCCTCAGCAAGCCCTGATGCCATTGTCTTCCTGCTGTCCTACTATGTAGTGAGGTTAGGTACCTATAAAATAGCTGGTTTAGGCTTACCCAAGCATAAAGCCTCTGTCATGGGATTGAATTTGGGACCTTCATCTCCAAATTCACAGCCCTCTGGCACTAGAGCTAAAGAATAACTCCATTAGCTGATAGTAGCATAAGATTTATCCGACATATGGGCCAGCCATTAGAGGTGGGACACAACATGCAGAGCCAGTGTGTTACACCAAGGAAGGTGGAGGTGATGCTTACTGGCAGGGGGCAGTGAAAATGCCCTCAATCAAAGAGCTTTGTTCATGGATTGTCAGTTGTCACTCGATCTCTGGGTCCTGCTAGGCTCATCTCTGCTTCTACAGTCCCAGAGAGGACCAGTGGCCAGAAACGTCGTCAGCTGGCCTATCTGTTGCATCCTGTCCTCTGTGATGCAAAGGCAGTCCATGCCTTTGTCACTTCAAGGAAAGAAGACTGTATGCTCTACCTTGGGTTGCCCAGGAAGTGCAGCTATGCAGAAATTGTTGGTCAGCCGTCTAAGTAGGAAGGACCCATGAGAGCACTTCACACAGAATACTCTGACCTACAATAAAAATTCCCTATCCTCTTACAAGACAACCTCCAGCTGTTGGTCAGTATTTACACAACCCTAAATGGTATATGATTTAGCTGTCTTGGCAAGCCCTCTTCCCTTATAACATACTAACTTTTGAGGACACTGCTTTACAGTCCTCAGGTATGAGCACAAAGTGTTTGATGGTTGTGGTTTCAGTAGATAGCTCTTAGCTATGGATGTCCCTCCCTGATCTGTTAGAACCTGATCCTGGCAGGTTGCAATGCAAGGCTATTTAGGTTTTTTCCTGACTCTGTTGGATCCCCTCTAGCAAGTGGCTCTTGGCTGACTGTCCCTCTGCCCCATCCCACATACTAGTAGGGGCTAGCATCCCCCCAAGACAATGATATCAGATGGGAGGAGAGTATTGATGTAAATTTGGGGAGGCTGTTAAATAAGCTACAAAAATGCACCAAGATAATAGTGCTGGGAGCTTTTAGAAATACATCTAGGAGTAGATAATTCCCATAGCATCCTGACAGGCTTGACAAGCGGAGCACACACAGCAGGACTAAAATACAACCACTTCTGGGGTGTAGATCAGCAACTCAGCAATAATTGGCTCTGTACAACAGTGACAGGAGGGGAAATGTTGGTTATGAATATCAGGGCAATCCCGTGATCTTGTGGAAAGCGCCATGAAGTTTTTAATATCCACATAGATGAGATACTTTTTAAGGTCTTATCCTGAAGAAGTCTCACATGGTTTACTGCATGGAGCTCAATGTGTCTTCTTCAGAAGGAGGAGTGGCAAAGCTGTATCTCCCATCTTTTGAACCCATGGCTCCGGTGGGGATCTAGGTATTTCAAACCTGATACTTGGACAGCAATGCCATCCCTTCTGGTGAAGTTAGCTATGGATCATATTGAGATCATGGGCCATAAATAGGCATTTCCTTTGATTGAGAGAACAGAAACCAAGTATACTGCTGTATTCTTTCTCCTCTACTCAACAGCGTCCAACTAATTATTATTAATTTGTATCACCATCATGCCTAGGAGTCCCAGTCCAGGACCCCATTGTGCTTGGTGCCGTACAAACACGGAACAACAAGACAGATGCTGTCCCAAAGAGCTCACAATCTGTGTCTAGGACAAGAGGAGACAAATGGATACAGATGACTGATGGGGGAGTGCAACGGAACAATGAGACAATATTGGTCTGCATAGCAGGCAGCGATCTCATCACATCAACAGCCTAACCATTGGCAAGTTTTCTGTGGGCATTATGGAAAAGTAGAGTTTAGAGGGCTTTGAGGAAGGATGATGAGTTAATTTTACAGATGTTTACGGGGCACTCCTCCCAAGCATGAGGAGCTGCTGGAGAGAAAAAACGCAGAAAGAAGGTATGCCTGTAGTTAATAGAAGGGCATGAATATCAAGGAGGGAGAGGAATTATTTAGAGTGGCATGAAATTGGCCCACAATCCCACAGCACGGTCACCATTCTGTTGCGAGTGGACCCAGCCTGTGGTCCTACATGCTTCCAACCTAGCTGGGTCTGGGCAAAGTCTACTCACTGTTTCTAGCTCTGAGACTCTAGGGAACACTGCTGGGCTCAGACCTCTCGCCTGAGCTCTTCCTTGGGATGTGGGACTTTACCATCCAGCAAACTTAGACCTGAAAACAGTGTCTGAGACCCTCGCAGCCTCACAGTTGTTTACGTACGCTCTCCCCACAGCTCCGCCTACACAGTGTCCCCCCTGGGCTCCTAGTTTAACTCCTTTGGGGACAATGTGGCAGGATAGCAAGAAACACAGGCTCAACGAAAGGATTTTCTTAACCGTAGTAACTTAACTCAGAGTCCTGAGGTCTTTGCAGGGGGATGACCATTGCCTCATGTAAAAATGACATGGAGGATGAACCCTGCCCGACCTGAAACGCTGACAAACTACGGGCTCATAAGAAGGCGTGAGCTTGACCCATGGGACGGCCCAGGGACACTCAGAGCTTGACCCAGGGGCACCTCAGGATCATTCAAAGTCAATGGCCCCCAGATGTACTCTGGCAGGGCAGCTGTCTGTAATGCAGCACAATAGGCTGCCCTAGGCCAAGTCCAGATGCGTGCTATCACAGTGCTGATATTCCCAGGCATAGCACAACATAGAATTCATAATTTGATACAGGCAGTTTAAGGGAGCAGCATTTAGCATGGAGACTGGGGGTATGTCATATGATGGGGCTTCAAGCAGTTTCTAACAGTGAGGTGGTAACGGACACTGTTATACAGTCCACTGCTGCTTCACTGTTAGGAACTGCTTCAAGCCCCATCATATGGCCTACTTAAAACTAGGTCAGATAAAGTATTAGAGAAGATCTATCTGGACTGATTCTGCACTGGCCCCAGGGGTTGGAGGAGTGGGGATGGGCTGCGTAGGACCTAAGAGGTCCTGTAGGCTGGGGTTTGCAAAAGAATCTATGGGAATTAAGTGCCTAATTCCCTTTGACCCCCTTTGGAAGATATTAGTCTTAATCGCTCAGTTTGCAGCACACTGTTAGGCCCCATGTATCTTGAACCTGGATCCGTGGTGGTCCTGGGCACCATCACACTCCTATCCTGCACCCAATAGCTCACAGACACCAGCTGGGACTGAGGTCCATAAAGCCCAACTCAGGGCAGAACACCTATCCCTGCACTCTGGGAGCGCTCCAAGGCTCCTTATTGGGTCATACCCCCAATTTAAGCCAGAGGAGGAAACAGGAAGTTGTCTGTACAACCAGGCTTCACCCTGCCATGGACCACTGGTCAGGTTCCTTCTAATCCTGCCCTCCTGGCATCCTCACTCGGCCTGAACCTTGGTAACTGTTTCCTGTCCTCTGGTTCCATCACCCAAGCCTGACCTCCTGGTATCCTGACATGGCCTGACTTTTTGGTAACTAACTCTTGATCCTTGTATGACAGTCTGTACTCCTATGTTCACTCCTTTTACAAGACTGTGATAAATTTTGTACAAAGTATACTTTGTGAGGTATCATTTGAAAACTCATAATTTGCTCATCATTATTGTCCTGGTAAAATATATGTGGCAACATTGTATGGAAAGTTATAAGATTCTCCTGTATAACATTACTGAGACATTTCCAAGTTTAAAAAAGCAGATACAAACCAGTTCCTCAAAGACAAAGGGGAACCTGTTGCCTGAGCCAGGTGTCAGGAAAATCAAATGGACCATCACCTGGTTATGGTCAGGTGGTTAAGTGGCAATTCTTCAGCAGGAAAAAGGGTGTGAGCAAGAGATCTAAATTTTGGCAAAGAAACAGCTGGAGGTTCCTGTCCCCCTGGACCTTCTGTCTCCAGAACCTCAGCTAGACATGGTTTTTAAAGAAAAAAGAAAACTATAAGAAAAGGGAACAGAAGCCCCTAAAAGATCTCTCCTTTCATCTCTACTCACGGCATCAGCAACACTTGAAGGACAAAGGAAGCATCATTTATACTGGGGAGGGATCCTGGCAGAAAGGAATTCAGCCAGTCAGACTGCTAAAACGTGTGGGGGGAGAGACTTGTTCTTTGCAATCACTTAGCTTGTTAAGTTGGGTATTAGTTATGTTTTACTTTTTATTTATTTGTAATCAATTTTGACTGTTATGCCTCATTGCTTGTAATCACTTAAAATCTATCTGTAGTTAATAAACGTGTTATTGTTTTATCTAAAACAGTGTGCTCGGACTGAAATGTTTGGGAAACTCCACTTGTGATAACAGGATTTGTGCAAATCATTTTCTGTTTATAAAATGACAGTCTGTAGATGAGCTTGTGTTGTCCAACACAGGGCTGGATAGTACAAGATGCACATTTCTGGGGGGAAATCTTGGACTGGGAATTTGCTGGTATTGCTCTGCTGTGTAATCCAAGAGTGGCTGGCCATAGCACTCCTACAGGATAACTAGGAGTAATTTACATGCTGGAGGCTGTGTGTGAGCAGACCAGGAGTGGTTGCTCTCACAGCGAAGCAGTGTAGAAGGCACCCAAAGTGCCAGAACTGA